AGTTGTCTCTCTTCTTGTTTCTTTTCTTTTTCCTCCAACAACTGCTGTAATCTCTCTTCTTGTTTCTTTTTTCGTTCTTCTTGTTTATCTTATTCTTATTCTTGTTTCTTTTGCTATTCTTGTATTGCTGCCATCAAATCTGCTAAGCTGTAGTTTGATTTGCCACCTCTCGTTTCCATCTTCTTTTTTTTTCCATCCCACTCGTGACACCAATTTGCTATGTCTCTGTTCGTTTGTTAATTTCCCGTAAAAATTCTTTCAGAAGAACTTCAGGGATACAAGTCCTTTCTTAGATAAAACTAGTTTATTCTTTCTCAATACAACTTTGCAATACACTTAATTTCCACAGTCAGTTTAACTTACACACACTATAATTCACAACGATTCACGCACTTTACTTACGACTTGACTCGATCATCTGTCTCTATATCTCCCTATCTGCAATTATATCTCCGCTTTGTTTGCCGGGCTTATATACTAAAATAAAGGGCGCCTGGAAAAGACTAGCGTTGCCAGGAACAGTCATGATCCTTCTAGAAACTCCAACGCGCATGCTTCCAGCGTCGCGTGACTTCCGCTGTCGTAAAAATATTTTTTTCCAGACATACATCGTATTAATAGTTAAGATAATAAATAAAATTTCGGAGGGAATTTATCTTCTCTCCAGTAATCATGTTTGTAATTTCTAAAGCCTCTAGTACAGGTTCCCCAGTAGCACAGCGGTATGTCTGCGGACTTACAACGTTAAAAACTGGGTTTCGATACCAGTGGTGGGCAGAGCACAGATAGCCCGTTGTGTACCTTCGTGCTGAATTCCAAACAAACAAACTCTCGTACAGAATAGGGTGTTCTTCACGGTAAATTAAAGTCGAATTCGGAAGATTATTACTTCCAATACGTTCGAAGGATGAATAAACACGACACCAAACTTGAGACGTCAAATATACAGCGCTTTATGTTCCGGAAATATAGAAAATAAAAAAACGAAACAGAATAATGCTGTAGTATAAAAAGTCCAAGCTGGCAAAGTAATGATGATTTTTTAGATACTATAAAAGTGAAAACATTACGTGTGACTGTAGATGCCTCCCAATTAGTATTTGTATTTATGGAAAAGCTACTAAGGCATCTACTGCCATCCATACCAAAGATATTGCAGTCAGTAAGCAACACCCTACCATCAGTGCTAATGGACTGACTGTAACCCTTATAACACACCCTTATAACACACTGAACTGCCCACCATGGGTATCGAAACCCGGATTCTAGCGTTGCATAATTACTTGGCTATCTAATTCTTGAAAAATATTTTAATCCTGAAGAATATATATATATATACTTGCGTGTGTATATATATATATTATTTTTTTTCTTATTAAAAGGTAATCATTAGAAATGGCCCTTTCAGTAAATTTTCCAGTTTAATTTAAAATAAAAAAGGTCGGAGGTTTTCATGATCATGACATTTTTGTTGTTGTCGTTTTTTAATCCTAATAATAATAACGATTATTTGTTTGTACTTAAGCACAAAGCTACACAATGGGCTATCTGTGAACTGCCCACCACGGGTATCGAAACCCGGATTCTAGCGTTGTAAGTCTACAGACATACCGTTGTGATACTGGAGGCAATAGTAACTAATTTCCAACTACAAAGTTTTCAACTGACAATGATTCAGGAAACTCTGTAAGTAATTTAAAGATATGATAGGAAACTTTCAGTTGGCTATTAATTAGTTAGACAGATATGAGTATTTCATCAGTATTTACAGTTCAGTTCCTAAAATAGATTATGTATAACAGAAGCGAAAAATGGTTAGAGAATTGTTCATCGCATTTCAAAATATGTGTATTGATACAAATCTACAGAAAATAAGGATTGTTTGTTTGTTATAGATTTCGCGCAAAGCTATACGAAGGCTATCTGCGCTAGCCGTCCTTAATTTAGCAGTGTAAGACTAGAGGGAAGGCAGTTAATCATCACCACCCACCGCCAACGAATAGTGGGATTGACCGTCATATTATAACGCCCCCACGGCTGAAAGAGCGATCATGTTTGGTGTGACGGGGATTCGAACCTGCAGATTACGAGTCGAGGTAATAAATAAATTCCTCATTTGAAGTAGAGTACGGGATAAATATCTTATTAAGATTATAAACATTAGTTAATAAAATCCTACTTTTTGAAATATATTTTTATCAACGAGTTTTGAAGTTATTGAACAAGAACTTTGTAATTTGATGCTATTTCACGTTTATTAAATTAACTATACCGAGAGATGGCTAGAGCAGTAATATGTTAATCAAAAAGGCATTATATACCAATATACACAGATCACTTGGGATCTGGAATGACTGATCAGTCTTTCTTGGTCATCAGTTTGTATCAACACACACACACCTATTTGTTGTATGCTACCATGCTGATATGACCAACGTAGATGTTAAGGTTTTTTAATGACACGCATACATTAATATGCATTATATTATCATAATGACGCATGCCTAACGATGAATAAATTACCATTACGACAACTAATAGTGATAACAGTATTTGGTCCACATTACTCAGGGTTGGATCCAGGATTTTCAAAAAGGTGGCGGTGATAGTTTAAAAAAAAAAGGATATTGGAAAGTCCGAGAGGGGCTTGACCCCATTCTAAGAAACTGAAATCTCTCAAATTCCTAACACTTTTCGTTGATTTTTATTGGTCACTCCAATGGAAAAATTAGCAATAAGAAATCTAAATGACCAATACTTACTGCTTACCATCGAGAACATCTTTGCCTTTATTCACAGAACCGATTGTTAGAATCAGAACCTTGATGTGACCCACAGATTCAGGTTATTTCAAGCGCTATTTTTTGATGGGCTAAAAAGAGGGATGGAAATTTGATAGTCATATCGATGAACAAGACTCCTTCTAAGATTTATGGTGGATTTTAAATCAATCGTAATACCTTGGAAGAAAGGATTCTTTATGGCTATCTTCAACATTTTACATATTACAGACGGTCTAAAACCCTTTTCGATATGGGAATACAAGCAAACTGATCCCAGAATACAGTTAAATATATTTCTACCACTTGATTCTCTATTTTCCTCTATTTCTATTTAATGTTTCCTTAGATTTTGTTTTTGCATTAGAACTATTTTCTGATGGTCGACATCCTATTAATATCAACCCTCACCTCCTGCGATATTGGTATTATATTCTTCTTTCAGTAATCAATATTTCTATTTCTGATACTGATAATACACATTATAATTTACTTTTAGCACTAGAAGTGTTAACTATTTTTTATACTATTAAGACTGAATACTGCCCCCCCCCACGCCCCAGTGGACAAACGGTAAGTCTAAAATCTGGGGTTCGATTCTCTGTGTTGTAAATATTATAGGGGCTTTGCCCTAAACCAAACATTACATTTAGTACTGCGACTCGCACTGTACTCGAACAATGGTGCTCAACATGGTTGACCTTGGAGCTAACGATACAAACTGTGTTCTACACACAGTACCAGAATATTAAGCTCTTCTGTCTTCGGTGAGATTATGCACAACATATTCTTCATTTATTTCTCGAATACTCAACTTTTTGCGATACTGACGTAAACAAAGTGTATTCTTTATTTAATTCCGTTATACTAAGCACTTTGGTTATAATAATAATGATATATACTGTATTCTTCTTTAAACACGAGAAGTTTCAATTATAAAGATTAAACTTAATTCTGTCGTTGTCATGGTTAGTAGATTGTACGATCACCCAAGCCTAATTACTATTTAGCTATTAATCCACCATCATTATTAGATAATAACTACCATTTAGTTTATTTTCTAATTTTTCGCTGCTGTCTTCAGAGAAGGTTTATGAAGTGTATTACATAACAATAACATCCTCCTATAGTGTTTATTTCAAAAATGGAATTGTTTTAAATTTTTCTAAGTTCTGATTTGAATACTAAATCCAGTTGAGGTAATCACTAAATTCAACCTCAGGTGTTACTCTCGGTTGCATGTCCGCTCAGAGAGCTTTTCTACTTTTCCATGAAATATTCGTATTGTGCTTTGCCTTGTACATAGTCATAGAGATCAGGTACACGAAATTTCTTGCGACTCAGTTTTCCAAATTTTAGGCCACAAAGAGATGCTTTGTGAATGCAATTTTGGCAGTTTCTGACAGATTTTTTTCAATGTTTGAGGAGCACGAACTTATGACTTCAAAACTATGCCTTGTCTCTTTCATATCACCATTACAAATCACTACACCTGTCTTTTGCATATTTGGTCCTCGAATCTCTAGTTATTTTGGAAGTCAGGCAATTGTGTGCTTGACCTACCTTATATGTTTGTTGAATTTTGCACAAAGCTGTTCATGGGCTATCTGCACTAGCCATCCCTGATTTTGGAAGTGGTAGACTAGATGGAAGGCAGTCAGTTATCAACACCCACTGCCAACTTTTGGGCTACTCTTTACCAACTAACAGTAGGATTAACCATCACATTATAATGCCACCAGGGCTGAAACGGCGAGCATATTCAGTCAGGTTTTGATCCCATGATCCACGGAATACAAATTAAGTTTCCTAACCTCCACTTTCTACCAGACTACTTAACCTTAAATTACTATAAAAGGATTTTATGTTGTAGCAAGAGTCAGAATTCAATACTGGTTCTTCTTGTTATAAAACATGTATAATGTTCACTCTTCCAGACAGGACTGCCACCACACGTTTCCTTCTCAAGACTTTTCTAAAGACAGCAGCATATTAATAGCTAATATAGCAAGTTAACTAACTGGTAATTACTATCTAATAATAATAAGTAACTAATTAATAATGTGACTTACATGGTTATAAAAGCTACTAATCACAACAATAATTGAAATTCAATTGCTACTCTACCTTACATACTTAACATAATACATCTGTGTTACTGCATATTATGTAAAAATAACAAATGTTGCAGAATTCATTAAAAACATAGAAAACCACGAGTATTGGAAGAAATTCAAAGTTAATGTAACTTTATTAAGAATTTTTCAAGTATACAATGATATTCTAAGACAGACAAATGTGTATGAAATTAATTAAATACGTTATCTTGCTCTTAAACCAGTTCAGCAATTGGTACCTTATCTCCATGCTAATCATGAGCAGAAGTTGAATCTGGTCATTTGTAAAGATCAACATAAAACCCAAACAGAAGAAACTTTCCTAGAGATAACACACATTAAATCACTGTATTTATACTGAATAACATTAACTATTAAAAAAAACTAAAAACATTAGTTTTTTTGTATTTCCTTGCAAAAATGTTTAGCAATCAAAATCTTACAATAACACACTTTCCAATGGCACATTCAAAAAGATAACACAGTTGAAGCAATTTTACTACATTTTTACAGCAACCCTCTAGTCAAAAATTAACAATTTTCATCCATGGCAAAAAAAAAAAATCTGTAAAATCAAAATTATCACATACTATAACCAAGCTAAAGAAAGAATGAATGAATTTCAAAAATCCAAATGTATGGGATCATTCATTTGATACAAAGAAACACTTAATTTCACTCAATATTTTCAACTAGTAACCCAATATAACTTGCTACATATGCAGCTTTGCTCTCCAGCCAAAGAACACTCATTTACTATAGAAGATTATTAATAAACATTTATTACTTGAAAATGTTAAATTCAAACCAAAATATTTTGAGAGCAAATTAAGATTTAAGAATTCTGGAAAATAATAAATTATGTGAAAATATGCTTATTGCTTCCAATGGACACTTTGTTGCAATTACTATTATAAAGTAACACATAATAACTAAAAATTTCACAAATAAACAATTCCTACTTTTTCAACCTCACACATAAAAATGTATAAATTTGTCCAACATTTATATATATGTATATAATGTACTAAATGAATGGTCCCTGAAAAAAAAACCTCTATATGGGTAATCCAGATATTTACTATTTGTATTCAATTACAAGATGACTGCCATATAAATGGAAGGCTTTAAGACTCTTTTATCTCCCATCTCACATTTTTGTGTACAAACCAGTTGTGTCTACTTTATCCAACTCAAAACTGAAACTTTATTTTTTTATTTATTGCCAGAAATGTAAAAAAAATCCTGTCTCTTACATGTTTATCTTCATTTATTATGTTGTATAAACTCCATAACATGATTTTTATTGTATCACATTTAAATCCCTGTCACAGTTAGAGAATCTAAAATTTACTTCTAAAATTAAACATCTCTCCTTACAAGTAGAAGTTACTATTTCTTTACTCTGCTAATAAGGAAGAAACCCCAGCATAACAGAAGAATTAAAAAAGATGGCAATGGCTTGATGCCCCACTGCTAATATAAACTAAAACTGAAGCAATGAATTAAAAAACAACAGTCAATTCTCCATAACTTTACAAATAACACAATGTATTATATACATACACCGTATAAACTAATTAACTGTAGTTTTCTATCAAACCCACCACTGATATTAATTCATATTAAATGGAAGACTCCAGTGAGCTTTCAGTTTTCATTCTATCTAAATATTCAAAGTAACATTTTACACAAAAGATTTATTATACTTTACTATACACTGTCATGAGCAAGTGAAATTCAATCTTCTGTTGTATTTATTTACCTACATAATCAGAATAGATAAATTACTGAAAAACTTAAAATTACAAGAATGCAATTTGTAAGTAATAAGGGAAAAAAAAGATAAAATTCACAAAGAACATTTAAAATATATGTCTTATTTTATAGCAACATAAAACTCTTCATAACTGAGAGGAAATAGCATATCAAATATAATTAAAATCTTCCAACTTTCGAAAATTTATTTCAATTTCCTGAGTACTGAAGGAACTTAAAATTATATTGAAAAGCTGATAAATGACAACACAAAACACATTTCTGTACAAAGCTTTTCATGGAAGTAGGTGACAGAGAACAAACATTTATTACTGTTCTGTCCATATTTCAGTATCTCATTCATTTTAATATTGGATAAGAAAAAATAAAAGTATGACAGTCTGTAGTAGGTACAGAATAATCACAAGTGCAGTACATATTGACTTACTAATTGTATTATAAACTATGAGAAAGAAAACATTTTTATTTTTAAAACACTTCATTAATTTCTTTAAACTCTGGCTGACATATTGTTATTAAACCTGTGATTTCTTGACACAGACTAAAAAAATATTTGATTTACTTTCCAATAATGAAAAATAAACTGGGAACTACGTTGCTAGTTTAATTTGCTTGCAAATTTTAAAACTTGAAACACATTTATGCTATCATCACAATAATTAAACAAGAGAAGCTTTAAGAAAGAAAGTCTGTAGATATATCTTGAAGAACTCTACTTTTACCAATCTTTGTACCTGCAAAAATCTTTAAAATGTTAATGGTTTCTTTCCTACAAAACCATGACAAACACATACAAACTGTAATGAAAATTTAAAAATTCTTAACACCCAGTCTGCGAGTCAGGAGGGCATGTTTGGTGGGTTGATTCTGAAACAAATCTCTCTGGTACTCTTTTTTTGTTTTTAAATTCTGAATACAGATTTGATCTTGCAATATCTGTAATCTTAATTGCCCACCAGCATGGCCAGATTTGCACTAGTTTCCAGGATATGAGGGAGTAAAACCCATATCCTAAACGAGGTAGTGACCACACGTAGTGGGCAATAAAGCCGTTTTCTTGAGTTCTGTCAACAGAAATGGCTGAGGAAGGCTCAATGAAGCTTGTTACTATAAGATGTCTACTATTTTGTACAAGAGAAACACGGTCTGGTCTGCAACACACAAAACTCTGCATCTCCATGGATGGACATCAATGAGAGGCTCTTTTGGCAGTAAAGTGAGGTTTTTGAGGTTAACAGATCAAGCTTTTTTTTTTTTGTGTTCTAACTTGAATACTAGAAATCATGACACCCTTCTGTAGCCCACTCAATCCCACAAATTCAGTCTCATTGACAAGCAGATTGGGTGTTAAATAGACCATGTGGGAGGTTCAAAAGAATAAGCATTTTCACTGAAGAGAGGAAAAAAATTTATACTGCATTCATAGCACCCGAAATGCTTTTCCCTTAAGATGTTTTTTGTTTTATTTTGCAAAATGAATCAACAATTTGTGTACACCTTGTCTGCGAATCCTTTTAAACAGCATGAAAGCTTAACTTACCAAATATTTAGTTCTGAACAAGTACCAGTTAAGTATACAAGCCCATTTTTTTCATAATGTTACCTTTGTTAACAATCTATATCAATATTGGACATATAAGTGTATACACTCAAGCTACATAATTTTATATTAAACCTGTGACAGCAATATGTCTTTTTCACATAAAACATGAGCTTATGCTTAAACTACAATACCTATTTCTCTAACATCAACTAGGATTTTAACAAATGAAAATGATATGCTTGTTAGAAACAGTACTTGGTTAATACTGATATGTTACTTTTTTTTTCAATATTTTTCTATTTTGGATATCTATCCTTTTATGTGACTTATATAGCTAGAACATTTTTGTCAGAATGTTCATAATCACATAAAATAGCACAAATAAGTCTGTTCTCCTTAACTTCTATCATATTAATCACAACACTATTTATTACTTACACCAGAATGCAGTCAACACTGATCCATACATTTCTTGCAACATACAATATTCCAAAACTAGCAATTCATTTGACACACACAAGTGTGTAGATCTGTAGTTGGCAATGTGCCAAAATTAACAATACATCTATGTTTAATGGAATCAAATAGTGTTTGAAAGAGATGGAACAACTTGCTTGAACATCACAGATATTAGGCAGTGTACCTTTTTTATACAACTTTTGTCACTAAAATAATATTCCATTAAGTAAGAAATTATCAAAATAAATTCTTTACTAAATACTACTCATTACATATTTCTCAATGAATGCTTTAATTAACAAATTAAAGAGCACCAGGTTAAAGATAAGGAATTACTTTGTTACAAAAATCTGTTAATAAAGCCTAATAGTGTTGATCCACAGTTTAAAAAGAAATTAGATTTACATCAATCTTAAAAGCAGTACAAGGAATACAAAAATTGTTTTGCTTTTGTACAGTATAATTTGTTAACTCATGGAACAATTTAATACACTAAAACTATCACAAATTCAAAATTTCACAACACATTAGTATTCAAAGGAAGGTTTTATTCAAATATGGGTAAACAATCATTTGATGAGCAAATTAATGCACCTTGAAAATTTTGAATGATCATGTGTAAATTCAGATGACTCTAAAATTTCAATTAGATGTTCATAAGTAATTGAGTATTGAAATAAATTCCTTGATCCAGTCTAGTTACTGGAAATACTAATGTTACAACAAAGAGGAATGGAATTCCTTTATCAACACAATTTGATATTTATGTAATAAATGAGAAGTCATAAGTAAGTTGCATTTACTATTACTTAATTATGTTGATATATATATATTCCTCAAGAATTCAGTACAATATCTTTATGGAAGTAGAGGTTAGAAATAAAAGACTTGTTCAGAACACTTCATCAAGTAAAAGGAATGTGAATATCGGTTAGACTTTGTATGTACCAAATAACAAACAATTAAAATGAGCATGTCAATGTAACAATAGAACATTGTGGGGATTTTGAAATACCACACTTCTACTTACTTAAAATTCTATGAGGGCAACTTATTTTCTTTCAATAGATATACCTACCTTATTTAAGTGTAAGTTTCTTACACAGAATTCTACCTCTTACACTAAGCAAAATCATTTACTATCTTCTAATGAATATAAATCAATACTCTAAGATCTTATCATGTCTACACATAATCCGATAAATTCATGTAAAAACTTGTTTTGCATGGAGATACTTTACACATACACTTGTGATTGTAACAACAAATTTACATTTGAGAACACAAAAAACAATGAAATAATAAGAGCTGTTAATAATAGATATTATACACTAAAAATTAAAGACTGAAAACTATTAACAATGGATACTGTAAAAAACAAAAAAGTTGCATAAAAATCCTTTAGCTACTAATTATTCCCACAACATCCCACTTTCTGTGGCTTCTTTCATAGCATGCTGACAAATAGGAGTTAACCACTGCTTAGGCAAAATTGAGGCTTCATTATCCAATGTCATTTCCAGTTTTTCCCATAGATGGCAGCGCATCATTGCTTTGGTTGCTTCCATCACCTGAAATTGAAAAAAATTCATTTAATTCAAGTAATCATACAGTAAAAAGACAGCACTTGAAGTTGAATGCATGGTGTCTTATGATTAACAAGTAAGATCAATTTATTGTGGAGCTCTTGTAAGGCTTAAAGAAGTTTAAAGAGGATAATGCAAGTGCAATTATCTGCAGTGAATAAATGCCAGCTACCAAATATACCATATATAACAGGTGGGGAAGCTGCAAGTGCTGGTAACAGTTTAACACATTAGGAAAACAAAGTTTATAGTAGGAACATTAAAAAGGAAGTATTCCTGTAGTCATGAATTACACTATTACCTGAGAATGATTGGCAGCAATAGCCTGAACACGAGGTACAGCTTCTTCCATTAATCTTGTTGGCCAGATGACCTCTGACACTAACCCAAAAGATTGGGCCTGAAGAGCAGTGGCACGACATCCTCTTATAAGCATGTCTGCCGCCTATAAAATAGCCAATTATAAATAATATAGCTGTATGATAGGATTAACAAGGATATATAAAACCCTCTTTAGTAGAAATAATTATTTCCAATCCTTGATAAACTTTTATACCCTTCTTTTTCTAATAAAAATTTATTTTTAAAACAGATTTCAATAAATTTATTATTAATAAATTATTATTAAAATTTTAAAAAATTCAGAAATTATTTGTTAATTTTTTTTAATATTCTGAATCAATCACAAGAAAACATCATATTTAACAGGTATGTCAGAAGTTAATATATATTTTTTGGTTTTTCTTGTCTTTTAGTTTCTAATGAAAATTAGTTTTGTTTTTGTCTTCAAAGTAACTATTGATGGCTTGGACTTATTATATCTATTAACAACCAACAGAAATGTTTAAATCTGTATTGATTACAATGAAAAATAATGCTTGAACTCCATGTAACATTGGACATTCTTAACAGAAATAAACTAAATACTTTTATCATCAGACCCCTGTTATTCCGATGTTTAAAAAATACTTAAATATGTTGATTATACAAGCAATTTGAATGTTATTAAAAATTCCTGAAACTTGAATGAACAACTGCATAATAAAAGTAACACTGCTTATTTCAGAGTATCACTTGTAGATAAAATCTTGAAAGACTAATCTACAAAAGCATTTCGGTAGAGAGGAAGGTGTTTTAGAAACCCTCCTGTCTTTTTGTCTTCACGTCAGCTTCCACTGGTTTTGCAAGGATCTGTATGGAATCTGGAAGGATTGAAGTTGACATGATGTGATTTACTTGTGGTTTTTGTAACGAGTGATGACTTGACCAACGTTAGCTAAAAACTGCCGATTTCCAGGCATGAGTCTTTATTTAGTGAAAGTTTTAACATCCTGATGTAGAAAGAAACACTGCATCCCCAAACAACGGTTGCTAAATGATAATTGTCTTACACATATATCTGACATGCAGATGTTCATCAAGGAATAAAGAACAAAAACAACCATCTCCTATTCTGTGACATTTTCAACAGCAGAGAAAATGAAAAACTAACTACAACCATATACTGGAACCTACTCATACTGATACATACTTACATTTACAGTCTTACCCTCCACCTTCTGTTAATGCACTATTATTAAGTACTTAAGTGCTTGAACACAGAGATGGAAATATTTGCAATGGACACTTTATTAAAACAAAACAATGATGTTTTAAACAGAATGAATATTCTACTAGGTTCATCACCAATAGCTTGAACAACATTATAATACCAACTGATACAACAAAGAAAACGAATCCAACACTATTCACTTTTTATTGTGCAAAGTGATAATTTTCCCAAGTGAAAATTTATTTCCAATAGGTACTTCCCTTTTCTCACAAGATTAGCTTTTCTCATTTTGTGCTGCTCTCTGTATGAAAACTTTTACAGAAATGCATGCCACAAGCCTCCATCATCCCTATGTTGGAATCCAAAGCTTTAACATGTCTCTCGTGCAAATCATCATGTGTCACCTCTCCACCAATTGGAGAGCACTACTGTCACGTGATGTATGTGACTCCCTCTATGCACCACTACTGAACTATCACCTCAAAGTTTGGCAGAATTTGCAAGCATTGGAAGGTTTTGAGGAGGACAGTCAGGAAGTGTGAGCAGAGCGAAATACCTAATAGATATACATTTTCATTTAGGAAAATTATAACTTCTGATAGGGTACTCTCCCTCTTCTCACAAGATCAGCATGAATTCCACATTCAAATGGAGGAGGGACTGGTGCGAGGGAAGCACAGGTGTATCCCCCGGAAGCTTCTGGAGAACACTCTGAGGAGTGACATCACACCACATCTGAGCCAGGTATCTCTTCGCCAGGAACATCAACATGATCAGGAGGACCAGACATGGCAGAAGATTAATGAGAATCACTCAATCCCACAATGGAAAGTGGGCAAGTGAGGATTTGTCCCATGGTGTAGAATAGCTAGGGTGTGACGGACCATACTCAGTAAGTCAACTAAATCCAAAACCTCACTCTCTGGGTAGGATGAGGATAATACTGTCTTCACATCAAGTTCCAGAGTCAAGAGGGAACCTAACAATTGACTCTTGGAACTCACAGAGTAGCCTGATGCCAGGGACCTGGGAATGTGTCATCCGAAATCTGAGGTAAATCCATCGCATCCACTCAACCCTACAACTGTGAAACCAGCTCGAAACAACCCCATGTCAGCAACAACCTTGTCACCCAATGAGGGAAAACCCAGGACAGAAGCGGAACCAGCCATGTAGACCTTCTGCAACCCACAACACAGAAGACAAGTTGATAGGAAAAGACTGACAACCCGAAGTCTGCGTGAGGATGTATGTGACTGGTTCGCTCGATCTCCAAAACCTCACTCGCTGAGTACCAACATCCACACGACAGTAGGAGGAGGGCACCCAATTGGAGAGGTGAATTTCATTTGGGCATCTCAACTCTGGGAAGACTGCTCAACAATGGCAGAACACCACTGCCCTAAAATGAACTGAATGGTTATAGCCATCTTTGTGGAACTCATCCAGCAGGTTGCCTCCATGGTCAACCACCCCAGCAGCTTGGAACTGGTAAGTTGTAAGGACTCCCATACTACACTGGAAGAAAGGGGAAAAAAGTGCAGTGGGGAGTCCAGAGGGACTGCAACACCTGAGACAGTGCAATGGGTGAACATGAAACCTTACTTTTAAAAGCCGACCACACCGATTTATTCAATTTAGGCATGGCAGGGATGGGCAGCAATCCCCTTCTGCTTTACCCATGCCATCCATTGGTGGTATGGTCTGGGATGGGCATATTATGATGTAATTATCACAAGGAATTTACACTAGTGATCTTGTGAAACACCCCATCTAAAGGGTGAGCATACACAGTCATGGAAAATGTATAAGAATAAACATGGCTTACAGTGCAGATTTGATAGTAAGATGTCAGAGACAGAATACCTGGTCAGGCACCACTTGCCACAGAGTGGGATCCAAAGTGAAGCTGAATCAGGGGCCCCTGAAAGAAACGAAAGCATTAGGGAGGACTCACCTCTTATCACAGCCACACTGTAGTCTGTAGAATAGACACAGATGGCAGGCAATACCCACAGAAAGCAGAAACAGCAATGTGGAGTAGGTAGTGGGAGATGAATGTGTGCAGAGTCCTCCAAATGTCGAATTGTAAAATCTCTTCCAATGGCAGACAAAGACGAGAGGCAAGGAAGAAGGTAAAGTGATGGATTTGATGTGAGGAAACGTGAAAGAGATCACACTGGGAAGGAGACAAGGAGAAATAGGCCAACTGGATCAAAAGTCGAACCCAACTGGTCAGGGTAACTGGGAAAAAATCAAGGGAAAAGGAAGGTTGCCAAGGGATAAAAGGCACGAACTAGGAACCCAGAAGGAAGCTGTGTGAGCAATATAACAGAGGAGTCTACCCGGATCAGAATGAGGATAGAGATGAGATATAGATAGGTGAAAAGGAGGACTCACCTTCTTGAGCTGCAGAGGTCTCAGGAAGGAAAGCATGATCCAAATAAAGAATAAGGTAGAAGTGATACAAGGCCCTGGGAACATTCGAGGGCAAAAATATCAAATCTGCAATGGCTGCAGGCCAAGAGGAGGAGGAAAAACTCCTTCAAAGAGAGGTGAAACAGGGAACACATAGACAGAGGTTCAATTAGAAGTATAGTGAGGGCATGAAAAACCATGTTAATAATGTCCCAGTCTGGGAGTGATGGATGCCTTGGTTAGCAATGGAGCCAGAAGGAATAGATCAACATGGAAGTACAGGGGAAGCAAACACCCTGCAGAAATGGGAAAATAGAATGTATGGGATAATGCCACCTGAAACCCCAAAATCGAGGAGATCGAAAAAACCCCTCTCAAAGAGCCATGTGAGAAATTCGAAGATACAGGCAACCATTGGTGAGGAGTCACAGCCCAGGAGTGATAAACCCTCCATTGGTGTTGATAGATGGCCAAAGAAGAAGGGCAAATGGAACAAGCTAAATGTGAAGCTAGTCTGTGATAGAAACCAAACTCCTTGCCAAGGATCTGACAAAAGCCAGGCGTGTAGATGGAGGACAGACCGCACAGAATGGAGTGCCAGTGACCGAGGTTGCTGGATCAGGTCGGGACGGAAGGGAAGAGTAAGGAGCAATCAGAAGGACCTTGCATGGAGTAGGATGGATGAGGGAGACCACCCAATGAATTAAACAGATGGGAAGTTAACATAAAGGAACAGATGAGACCAATCCTGGCTAAAGGCATTGACAGTCAAGGCTCGGGGATGGGGAACCAAGGACCAAAACTCAGGTAATTTGTGATTGAGTGCAGTGGCAAAGGCATCAATGTAGGCCGTACCCAGATGCAGACAGAGCCACAGCTGGGACCAATCCATAGGATAAACATGATCCATCAAATGAATTTGTCGTGTGTGGGCCCAATAAAGAAGATCCATAGTGTGATAAAACAGAGCCACCTTGAATTGTCAGAATGGATCATAACTGGCCAGTGGCTGGCAAGAAAAAGAAAATGATCCAAAGCCTGACGAATAGCCAGAAGGTTCGAAAACAATGATGTGAAGAGAACTCTCTTCCACAGACCAATGACCCAAAACCTCCTGGTGATCCAAGAACTGATGAGTGCAACAGGCTGTTTCCCATTCAGAATGAGCAAGAAAAAACCAGTCTTCCATATAAACATAGAAGCCCAACCCCACAGTATGGTTATGTCGAGCAAAGGAGGATACCACATGACAAAACACATATGGTGCTGAGGCTAGGCCATAATATAAGGCACGACACTGGAACACAACCTCCAAATGGACATATTGAAGATATGGGTGGGAATGCTCCACCACAGGAATGTGTGGATAAACATTGGAAATGTCCACCTTGGTCATGCAAAGACCTGGAGAAAATGCCCACCGAAGGGAAAGGTATGTCTCTATGATAAAGCAAGGAGTGTGAACTACTGATTGAAACAGGATAAATTGATGACAAGACACAAGTCCCCAGTCTTCTTTCGAACAACAAACAGGCAGGAGTAAAACCCCCATGAACCTGGTTCGATAGTCTTTTGTGCAATGAGGTCCTGAACTGCCTCTGACAGATGCTGGCGTGTCAAGGAAGACTGAAGAGAAGGGAAGGGAACATGAACACTGGATAATGGAGGAAGGGAGAGAGCACCTTGTGAACCCAGACATTGGCAGAAAAGGTCCCCACAAATGAACGATGAGCCCCCACTGGTCCCAAACTGACCACATAGTCACCAGTACTGCTGTTGGCAGATTGTGCATCATTGAGTAAATCATCGAACCATGGTACTGCAGGAGGGTGAGACAGAAAGATGTTGGGAAGGTGAAGGTTGGGGGGGACAGGAATCAGTGCTGCTAAAACCGCATCATAGCCAAAGTCCCAACAATAAACAAACCACGTTTGAAAGGCGAGAGTCAAAGACAAGCCAATGTAGAAGTAAGGATGGAGAGGATTTCAGCAGAAATCCCCTCAGAATTCCTGTGAAGAGCCTCTAACAGAAGTTAAAGGGAAGAAAGGTACCTTAACTGAGTAATGAATGTGTGATGAAAGTGAGAAAATTGGACTTGGGTAAGTTGGATAGGGTAATCTGGGTTTGCCCTCCCACCCCTTCCAAATAGGTAGAACAACTGTTAGTCAAAAAAGAGAAAGTCTGCCCAATGATAAGCAAGGGCGGACTGATCTGAAGTCTGTGTGGGTCGAGGCATACTAACACCTTCCCGCAGCTGAGAAGCAAATCGGTATCGGTTAACCCTAATACCGAGGGATGGGTGAAAGACTAAATAGAGTCAGGAAGTTGTTTCATGTAAGAGGGAAGGTCTAGGGCCATGGGAAACAGGTGTAAGAGACAAAACATCACATACCTGAGAGATAAAGTCTAAAAAGCCTGATGATGGATGAGCTGAAATATCAGGTAGAGAATGGAAATAAGCGGCAAATTCCGGGAGAGAGGGAGGGAGATAGACGATCAAAATAGTCTTCAGCTAGTCTCTGAAAATACGGCATTAAATGCTTGGCAAAATACCCAAAGTGGTGATTGTAACTTTGGAATTCATAAACAGGAAAAAGTGGCAAACACGAGAAAGTAATGCTTAAATAAAAATATTTATTCCACAACTGTGAAGTGTAGTAAATAAAGTTATGAAAAATGAAAAAATAAACCACTTTAAGGTAACTAAACAACAGCTGCCAAACAAGAATTGATAGTTTGGTAGTTTCGTGTAGAGTTTCATGACAGTAGTGCCCACCTATTGGTGGAGAGGTGATGCAAGATGATTTGCATGAGAGACATGTTGGAACTATGAATTCCAACATAGGGATGATGAAAGCTTGTGGCATACGTTTCTGAAAAAGTTCACTTACAGAGGGCAACACAAAACGAGAAAAGCTAATCTTGTGGGCAGAGGAAGAGTACCTTAACAGAAAGATAAGTTAGAAAATCAAATATGTAATCAAAAAGTTCTAGATTAATGCCTGCTGGAAATCTTACAAGACACTCTATCCTTGTCAAAACCAAACAAAGAACAACTTATGACAAACAACAAAAACATCATTTATGAAATATCAAGTTCCTGTAACAGACTTATGTTGGAGATAGTGGTAGACATTTGGAGCAAGAATGAAAGAACATAAAGCTGACAAAAACACAGAATTCTGCCCTGATAGACCATGTCATCTTGATTTTGACAACACATAAGATAGACTGGGACAATTACAGACACATCAACTCAGATAAATTATGGACAAAAGTAAAATCAAAAAATCTTTTTACATTAACACAATGAAAACATCTTTCGTAGGTTAAATTTCCAAGTTTCACTCTGAACTAGGCAGTTGCAGTTAAACTAATACCTTTAGAAAAACAAAACCTAGGTTTGCAATAAGAAAAATATTCACAGTATCACTCTGAGGAACAAAATCAAGTTTATAGTATGCAGATTTTATACTTATTAACCATAGTTAATCAACAACACTTGTGGCAAAGTTAGAAAAATATCCTACGAGAACACAACCAAGTTTGATCTAGGCTGAATTTATAACAATTACTTTCACTACATATACCAAATTTAGATTTCCTACCACTCCAAGAATGTAACCAAGTATAAAGCAGCAGTAATTCACAGGTGATTCCACTACTTATGGCTAAGTGAAAGTGACAGAGAAGCAAACGACCATACCCAAAATTAATGCCTGCTAAAGACCATTAGAAATGGCCACGTTTATATTGGATATATTTTTAAATCATGTGTACTTACTACAGTTGATCCCACTACCTGTGGCAAAGTGAGGGTGGCAGCCCCCTCAGGAACATAACCAAGTTTGCAATAAGGCATGAAAAAAACAGCTTTGTCACTGGCAAAAACAACATCACAGTAGGTTAAAAGAGTAACACCAAGGCCAACTGCAAGTCCATTTACTGCAGCTACTAATGGTTTAGGAAAAGATGCAAGTGTCTGCAGTAGTTCTCTGCCAAAAATTAAAAAAACATGCATTAGTCTTAATAAAATAAGATTTAAGTTAAAAAAAAAACTTTAACACTGGTGATCTCTTAACAAGAGATAATACTAATTCATAAACCAGAATATACCAGAAATAATGAAAAATAATAGCACAATTTTAACACATCTGATTTTTGCTGAAGGTAAGAAAAGGTAGATGTAACTTTACAAAATAAATTATTCAAATTTGTAATACTTCAAATGCAGTATATGAATAAATTTTTAGAAATATAAAAAAAAACACTTAATATGAGTTCATAAAGGACCCCTTGAATAGAATACAGAATGTCAACTTTCTGAGAGAAGACACAACAAAAAATCCATAAAACATTTAATATCTCAAAATCTAAAAAAATTCAGCTTTTCTCATTTCACTTTTTCAGTGAAATTTCGTCAAATGGCATAAGAGAATAAGATTTATTTTGTTTTTAGAAGTCATTCAATAAAGGTAAAAAAGGGCATTCTTTTAAATATTTATGTTCAGTTGGTGTATTTTTATTAATAACACTTAATTTTTCTTTTGTTTATATCTTGTTCTTTAACTAATATCTTTGTTTTCTTAATTTATTTTATTCTTGAGTTTTTTTACATTGTTCATTTTACCCTAATATTTATATATATTAATATAAATATTGACATTTTCATAGTTATACAGATAAATCCTATTTGTGTTAGTTTTTTATTTG